GCTTTTCCTTCTCCTGCCCTGTCTCCCACTTCTTTGGAAATTTTGAGGTCTCGTTCATGGTACTCTATGGCTTTCTGGAAATCTCCAAGACTGTGATAGGCGTTGCCAAGATTACAGTACGCTTTTCCTTCTCCTTCCCTGTCTCCCACTTCTTTGGAAATTTTGAGGTCTCGTTCATGGTACTCTACGGCTTTCTGGAAATCTCCAAGACTGTGATAGGCGTTGCCAAGATTACAGTACGCTTTTCCTTCTCCTGCCCTGTATCCCACTTCTTTGGAAATTTTGAGGCATCGTTCATGGTACTCTATGGCGTTCTGGAAATCTTTAAAGGTAACATAGGCGTCGCCAATAGTACTGTTCCCTTTTTCTTCCTCTGTCCTCTCCCCAACTTCATCGGCAATCTTGTTCGTATTTCCAAGATTACAGGTGGCCTCTGTTTGTCCTTTCGAGGCCATTCCACTAACAAATTGGAGATAAAATCTACGTACTGCTTTTCCCGAAGATAGTTTTAATTGTCACATTTTTTGCTTGCCTTGCTATTTCAGCTCTTCTGAAAAAAAAGTGTAGATATGTTGTGGTTTTTTTTCGTTGATACCCTTTCTCTATATGTAAGATAACGTGCGATAACGAAAATGAAAAGTAAAATTAAAAGATTGAGTAAAAGCTTATTTATTAGCTCTTTTATTATTCGTTTTTGTCCATGATCACAGTCGCATTTGGTTTGCCACAAATAGTGATCGCTGTACTTGTTTTTTATCGTTGTGTCATGTGACTTGATAAACTGGGGTCTTCCCCTAAAAAAAGGAAAAAGACATTCTTTTTGGTGATCAGTGATCGAAATGAAAAAGAAACCAGATTTACCATTGTCTAAACATGGTGTATATTATCTATCTAGACGTTGTACATTCATCTACCCTCCATTGAAAATACTAAAGCTTTTGGCAACAAACTACAAATCGGTCCAGTAGGAATATTCAGAAAAGTCAAATTTCGGAAAGTGAACTTATTTCTAAGGTTTAAAATTAAATCTCTTTCTAGCGGAATACAAATGTGCAGCAAACGAAAAGAATATATATTTCTATACCATCAGTTATTTTAAGCTGGTGGAATTTCAGAAAAATCATAATTATGGTCTATATAAAATAGGAAAGGCCCCCCTGACTCCTTGCCCTGCTCGGTTTCAGCTTAAGAGCGATGGTCAGGAAAAATCGAGAACAATCTTAATTTCGTGGCAGGAGTTAAAAAATGAATTTGTCCAGCTAGCTTGTCCAGGTAGCTTTTAGGTACATAAGAAACCTAATGTATATTGTTAGTCCCGCCAGAAGCCTTTTATTTGTGGTTTTCGATGTTGGAGTCTCAGACTGCCCCTAATTTTTTACCTGAAATTCGCTAACATCAACTTTCCTCGTGTGCGTAAAGGAAGGCGCATGGAGAACAACTCGGTACGTGTAAAAACCTGGGGAGTTTTTCTTTTCTTACTTCCTATTTTCCTTAGCTACTATGGCTGTGTTACGTTGACGTCTTTGAATTTCTTTGTGTCATGTCACTAAGGAAGATTGCAAGTTCTTTTCAAATACACCCGTCCGAGGATGAGCCGGTTTAAAAAGATTTCTGTACACAGCTTGCCGTTATAATTTAACACAAATGATAAATATGACTCTTCTTCACAGCCTTTTTTTTATGTCGTCACGCAACGCAGACACTAAAACCGGCTGTGTAGCAGACTACTATGAGAACGGACATGTATGCATAATAAATCATAGGCGGCCATACCATAGGTGACGCGCCAGTGTCGCGTTACAGGCGACCGTTGAAAATATAAGAGACTTTGTATGAGAAATATATTACTGAGATCTCGGAACGCTAAATAACGCTAAACCTTACTTTTTCTTAAATGAAATGAATAAAAAAGACTTACCTGCAATGTATTCCACTGCGTTTTGGTGTCTGTTTGTCGTTTTACTGTTTTTTTGGCTTTATTGCGTAACTACTGGTACTCCTTTCATAGAACGAAGTAGCCTGTGCCAGGCTCTCAGATCGTATACTGGGGACCACTATGTCGGAGCCTGGAATAGCCTAAGAACAAAGTCTCTTATACAAAGTCTCTTATATTTAATTAATTTTCAACGGTCGTCTGTAACGCGACACTGGTCACCCATGGTATGTAAATTACATTACATCCTTCCCTCGTAACGTGAGTTTGGGCCGCCTGTGAATAAATCAGTGAAAGGGCTGAGATGAAATCCTACAGTCCCCTGCGAACTGAAAGATCATAGACAACACGGCTTATTAATATCTGGCTTTGGTTCGTTGAGCGATGAAGACATCCTCGCAGAGTTTCGTGAAGAAAAGCAGATGGAAGTGGATGACGACGATGATGGAAATGAAGATGAACAACAAGAAGAAACTCCTAAGCGACCAACGAAGAGTGAGGCCCGTCAAGCAAAGCAATCGAGACTCTCTCAGGCTACAGTTTGTTTGATGTTGAGGGAGCCGAGATTCGACGGTAAACAAGCCAGTTGTCATTCACGATCGACGAAAGTATTAGCAAAAACCAAAAACAACAGAACATTCAAAGATTTTTCAATGCAACAGCATCTGCTGATTTATCCAACATATAATTACTGTATTTTTATGTAATCAGTGTCTTTCTTCATACTGTACTGTATTTTATTAAAAAATGATTCATTGTAACGAATTTTACGCTTCCCCGGTTATTTCGAAACCTCGCTATTTTGAACTTTTTTCCATTTCCCTTGGGACTTCGAAATAGCGGGGTTCAACTGTATTATGCTCGAAAATTTGAGCATAATGGCTAATATGCATGTATACTGGAGCTTAAGAGAAGGCGTTTTCGCTTTCCAGGTTCACTTTGAGACTGCCGGGTAATTGGCTTCTCTGAAATCGTGCCCGTGAGTAACGCCCGGCTTATTTTATTCCGCGAAACGAAGCGAAACGAAATATATTGGGGAAGGGAAAAAAATGCTCATTAACACGCGCTGCTACTCACGAAATTTTTCCTAGGCTAATTGTCGAAACAGCGTCTGACAGCGTCGACTCTACTCTATACTCAAGAAACCACAATCGCTCAGCTGCGAAGCGAGTTTTGTTTTCCTGATCGCTTGGTTATTCTAAATGAAGATAGAATACTTTGACAAAAGTTTCCGCGAGATAAATGACCAAATGCCGTTCTAAGTTAAAGAAATAGTTCGAGTATAGCTTCAGCTAATGGATG